AGATTTAGAAATAGTTTGTTAATATTCTATTTGTTTAAATGTAATTCAACAATAGCTGGCAATTGATAATAGCATAATAACAGCATAATAGTATACATATGCCATTTTACATATGATTGCATCTTATCTCTGAGAGAGCAAACTGTTGATGAGACTTTATTATAATAATATATTATTAATTGGAATATAATGCATTGCTCTGAATAGGGTAAATATTCAATGGATTCGTCTATCTCTATGTAAAACAGACCTTGTTTAGAAAATGATTAAAGAAATGTCTTGTTAAGTGGTACCCTTCTCTATTATGATATGACTTCATTTTTTATATAGTTTTTGTATGTGTTTCATATTTGTGAGTGAATATACATCTGTATTTATTTTCGACATCTTAAATGATAGTTTCCAGACTCACCATGATATGATTTGGAGTAAGAGGGAAAGTCAATGTTTGTTATCAACTGATTAAATAGTATTTAATCAGTGTCTCCCAAATGAGCAGTATTAGTGGTGGGTTAACTTTAGAAGCTGAATTGAAAGGAATTCAAGAATTCATATACTCTCTTTAAAATGTGATCACTCTTCTGTCAAGTATTTCTAATGACAGGGAAACGAGTCTTGTAAGAACAATACATCTGATTTTAATATTGATTACAAAGATGGTACCACCTTTTACAGGCAATTAAGCTAAACTCTTTTTTTGCTCTTTGCTACTTAATCCCTTTGATATGGTTATTGCTATCCACAATTTGCAGAGAGAGAAATAGAGGCTTACAAAGTTGATGTTACCTGTCCAAATTCACGTAGCCATTAATACATTGAAGGCAGACCTGAAACCTAGGCTGTCAGACTGAAGTTATCCTCAGCAGTCGTCATTCTAATCACTGCTTCCACCCCCTTTCTCAAATAGTCCTCTATAATCTGAGCTGAAATCTAAAAGAGTTATTTATCCTCTATCTGCATTCAGCCCAGAATCATTTTTGCAGGGCTCAGAGAGCCCAGTCTTTATTTCTTACTGACAAGTGCAAGGAGTCTTGTGTGGCCCTACATAGCCTCTTAGTGTTGTGGCTAGCATTAGTTTCTTATTCATATGTATTGATACATGATAAATTAATATATCATCTGCATAAAGTCATTCACCCTCTCTCCAAAGTTCTTGACACTTAGAAAGGCAAAAAAAGGCAATGATTTTCCTAATTCTTAGAAAACTGTTGCTATCCAAAATTAATATGCCCTTTCAAGATGGCTGCTTGATAATTAGCTAAAAATAATATGAAATTTCACTTGGCAGCTGTAGTTAAGATCCATAATATCACATATACATGCATATATTTTTACTTTTCAAAAATTGTGGCCAGCATTCAGGTCAGGGGATATGAGTGATATGAAATAGATTTATATCTAGTGAAAGCTTTTTAAATATAACTTTTCATTAAGTGCTTTCTGTCAGAAAATATTACTTCAATCAAACTTCCAAGAAATCACCTTTTGGGGAAAGAGCATGTTTTTTTATCTTCAGCTGTTCTGTTAACTACCCCCAACAAGATAAACTGGACTGATAAACACTTTTTTATTGCAAAAAGAAACTGGTTCTCAGTGTTGGTTGCACATTAGAATTTCCTGGGGTAGATTAAAAAAACCAAGCTACCTGCCTGTACTCCCATGAGACTATTTAGTTCATCAAGGGTATAGTGGACGTCTCCTCCTCTACTCCTCACCCAGTGATTTTCATGAGTTGAGAACCATGGCTCATTTCATGGGAAAGTGTCAATGGAATGGAAAAGGTCATTTTCTCCTTAGCAGACCAAGTGCCATGGTAATTTGTCTCCTTTCATTTCTTTGTTGTTGTTCAGTTGCTAAGTTGTGTCCGACTCTTCGCGACCCCATGAACTGCAGCACGCCAGGCTCCTCCATCCTTCACCATCTCCTGGAGTTTGCTCAAGCTCATGTCCATTGAGTCAGTGAGGCCTTCTAACCATCTCATCCCCAGTCGCCCCCTTCTCCTCCTGCCCTCAATCTTTCCCAGCATCAGGGCCTTTTCCTGTGAGTCGGCTCTTCACATCAGGTGGCCAAAACATTGGAACTTCAGCCTCAATCCTTCCAATGAATATTCAGGGTTGATTTCCTTTAAGGTTGACTGGTTTGGTCTTCTTACTGTCCAAGGGACTCTCAAGAGTCTTCTCCAACACCACAGTTCAAAAGCAGCCATGAAATTAAAAGGTGCTTACTCCTTGGAAGAAAAGCTATGAAAAACCAAGACAGTGTATTAAACAGCAAAGACATCACTTTGCTGACAAAGGTCTGTACAGTCAAAGTTATGGTTTTTCCAGTAGTCATGTATGAATGTGAAAGTTGGACCATAAAGAAGTCTGAGCGCCAAAGAACTGATACTTTCAAATTGATACTTTTTATATCTTAAAGATACTTTAATAATTATCTGCCATGGAATGTCCAGTTTTAATCATTAGAGAAATTTCTATTTTATTTGAAGTTCCCAATAGATTCTCTTTTCCTTAGAGTAATCATTCTCATTTCCTTGAAAATTAATGGCCTTTCCTCTGGGTCACCATTTTCCATGTCTCTGGAAAGGTGAATCTCTACTCTCACTTTCATACAAATTCTCCCCAAACATTTTCAGGGATATTGTTCACGTCAAAGACCCTAAAAACATCTGTTCCTCCTGCTGCCTTTGTAGCAGCCAGGCTCAAGAGCTATCTGGTCTGGCCCTTCACAGACAGACACCTCTAATCTGTGCTCTATGCTTTCAGGACAAAATTCAACTTTTCTATCATTCTTGGCCTCTGTGAATTTGCTTCTACCTCAGCTAACTATAGCATAGAGCATTCAAGTCATATTTTTTTCACATAAGATCATCAACACTTCCAATTTTCTTCTAAAAATATGAGCTCAAGATTTTCTAACACATACAGTCATCACCAAATGCTTAAGAAGTCATAAGTCAAAAGGGCAAGTAGTTTATGGTCAATTTTTTTTTCATAGATTACATACTATATATAAAAATAGCAGTAAGTAATTTTTTATTACTTATACTTCATAAATTTGTTTACTAAAGAAAAACAGGAACAGACATTTCTCACGAGGGGTACACACTTGAAATGCACTTGGCAATAAGCAAATGAGAAACAGTAGATGTCTTATATGCATTGCATCCAATCACAAACACTAGTCACATAATTTATATTAAGCTTTTATATATTGAAAATTGCCAAAACTCTTGCTGTGCTCTTTCTTTTGGAAAGCCGGCTGGTATGAAGTGTTTAATTATTTTAACTCCATCCTTTTGAAGGCCTGTTCCACTTTAGCTGAAGTTATGACAGTTTAGTTAGCTCTGTTAGTTTAAAAAGAGAAGGCATAGTTTATTCTCTCTCCTTCTCTCTCTCGCCTGCAGATATAGAATATTAGTATTTTTAGATAAAGTAAAATAGCTTATTTTAGAGATGTAGAAAGGGTTAGTTTGAATGTGTTGTTAATATAACATGCTGTCAGTTTAAATAGACTAGACATAAAAAGGAGTAATTTGATGAAAATTTAGAATGATAATTATTTTAGTAATGATAACATATTCTTATGGAAATAAAACCTTGTTTTTTCTTTCCCTGTCAGATTTTTTGGTCTTAGAGAACATCCACAACTTGAAGAAACCCACCACACAATTTAAGTCACTTTGCCTATATCCTTTCCCCAGATATGTAATTTATCCAAAGACCATCTCTTTGGTCAGTATTACAAGCTGTTTTTATTATTTTCTTAACATTTGTTATTAATCATTTTCCACATCATATATGTCATCAGAGAAGGAAAAATCACACTCAGTTTTTCTTTTTCTTTTTTCCTTCTCATGTTCTATCTTAAGATTAAAAACATACTTAAATGAAGAGTTGGTTCAAATCTTCCATGAAATATAGACACAATATTCTCAATGAGGGAAAATTTGAATTTAAATTCCATTATCTTGTGTAAAAATGCTTTTAATTCAATCTTGAAAACACACAGACATTTTATAGTTATGAGCTGCAATCCCCTGCTCCCACGTTTGTGTTTTGCAGAAGTTCATAGATTTTGCTGACACTTTTAAAAGAAATGCTTAATGATCTAATGATTACCATTTGGTAATTAGCTGGAGTAGCATTTCAACATGCATCTGATAAGCTTTGGCTCAGTTAACCAGCATCCTGGAAACTAAAGTCATAGTGATTCTGACACTGTTCTTGTCTTCATATTCTTGCTTTTACTTTGGACCCCAAGACATCTAGCTTTTGTGATTCTGCCACAATGTACATCACTGATGGCAAAATTTTCATCACATAGCTTTCCCCTCAAGCTCCTTAGTTTTCAGTCATTAACAACAGAGAGAGAAACGTTGGAGGCACTCAGAGTCTAGCACTTACAGCTGGTTGCAGCAATTTCAACTTGCGCAAGACCCCATGTTTGTGAAAACAACCCAAGAATCTCTGAACGGTATGTAATCAACCTCCCATCTACTGAGAAACACTGCAAAAATGACTTCAGCTGCCAAAAATAATAATGTCATTTACAAGCAGCTCTTCCTAGGTCTAAGGAAGAACTAGCCACACATGTGAGCTTATGCTGGATTCCGACGAGCAAGCAAGGAAGAAGGCAAAGCTACCTCCCTCCCCTAAAATACACAGTATCGGAACCCACGGGAATCTGGAGCCCATTTCCAAGGTGCTGGCAATATTGAGGGAGATTCGTATCCACAGAAATCCAAACAGTAAGTGACCCCAGAGAAAAGAATTCTAGTTGGGAGCAGTTCTTTGCTGCCACTTTCCCTCTGTAACCAAGCTGCCCTGTCTTGTGAAGGCAGAACTGTTAAACACCTCTTAGTCACCAGCCCCAAACCAAATCTTTCTTTTTTTCAAAATATTATTTGGCAGCTTCCCTTAAGGGACCTCAAGAGCTTGGGAGGGAATATTCACAAATGACCCTTTAGAAACATTTCATCACAAAAGCCCTGCACCTACCTCTGGTTGAGCCTGGCCGATCAGTCCGCATGGGCTGGATGTGAAAAAAGACCCGGGGTGATGGCTTCTCCAAATTTACCAGAAAGAAAGAACCTGGGATGCTTGTCGTTTAAGTGTCTCTAAACATGGTTTGCATAGCTGGATCTCTGCTTATCTGTGCCTTTCGGCTTTCGCTTCCATACATGGATCTGTTCCCAACAGTAACTCCAAGCTGTCGAAAAGAAGCTATCTGGCAGCTCTCCGCTTCATCCAACACATGGGTGATAAAAATACACATATAGAGATCCTTCCAGCCAGGCCCATTTCCCACCCTGCCATCCTGCCACTATGCCTTTTCACAAACACACGTTCAGATTGGCATTTTTACTCTCTACATTTTTACTCTCTGGATGGTTAGAGAACAACCAATTTTTAACCCGATTCTCACATAGAGTTTTCAGGATGTGGGTTTCCTAAGCTTTGTGAAAAGAGAGATGTGATTACAATTCCTTACCAGGGTTTTCATCCTTAAAGATTTCAGTGATAAGAAACAGATATGGGACCCAAAAAGTGTTAGGAAATGAATGGCTGTCTGAACAATGGATAACATTGTTTGGGGATGAATAAATACATAAGGTATTTCTTTAACCAGGGATAGTTGTTAATACTCTGTATAGTTTGTCTTAAAGAAGCAGCCCCCAGCCTTTCTGGCACCAGGGACCAGTTTTATGGAAGACAATTTTTCCACGGACTGGGATTGGTGGGGTGGGGATTGTGGGGAGGAATGATTTCAGGATGTGCATTACATTTATTGTGCACTTTATTTCTATTATTATTACATCAACTCCAGCTCAGATCATCAAGCATTAGATCCTAGAGGTTAAGGACCCCTGTCTTTAAGGATAAGGTAGCAGCAGCAGGTCAAAGTAATCAAAATCTCTAATAAGACAAGGAAAGGCCAGGTTCTTATTGGAATTGTTTCTCACTTAGGATAATTGAGGCAGTTCCAAAGAAGTGACCATCTAGCATATGGTTTGAGATTCAGGAAACATTTTTTTCTTTAATGTTAAAGAATATAAACCTGAATAGAATACTAATTATTACATTTGTTAACTTCAGTGGTACTTTAAAGGATACATAACTGTGATTTACATTTTAAGTGGTGGGGGGACAAGGGGGACAAATCCTGCTCTGTGTGGTAGAGAGGTGATGCATACTCCCTTAGGATGCCCAGTTCTTTTGAAATCTAGCTTTTCAGATGTTTATCTGCCTCTCTCTTTTCTCAATTTGTTGTTACTTATGTAATAAGAGGTCAAAATATGGAGAGAGAAAGAGACATTTCAAATAACATTTTCCCATTGGTTAACTTTTTCAAAATCATGTTAAAACTCCTTAGAGTCTCTCGTTACAAAAAAGAAATTTAGACACACAGGCATAATTCATTTTAATATATTGAAATGAGTTTGCTTAAAATATTCCTGAGGAAAAAGGGAGGAGCAGACAAAACATGACTAACAAAATGATCATATTTGCAGATAGCCTATAGGTACACCTATCAACCTGTGACTAGAGTTCATTATTACCTTCTCTATCTTGTGTAGGTTTTAATATTTCTATAGAAGAAGAAAAGAGAAGGATACCTAACTGATATATTTATGGCAAGTTAGAGCACTCCTAGGTTTTAGTAATCTCTGTGTAATAACACGAAGGTCAGAACAATAAGAGGCAAAGTTGTTTTTTGTTCAAAATATTCTGAAATTCTAATCTCCCTCTCCCACCCTACTAGCAATTGCATATATATAAATAAGTATATGTGTATAAATACTGCATATATATATTTCATATATTTATATACAAGTTTTTCTTTATACGTTTATATAACAAATTATATAGATTGCATAATAATCAATTACCTAGTATCTATATAATAATATATATTCTATATAATAATAATACCTAATGAAAATTAAGATTGATATTTAACAAGCTGACCAATGATGGGCATGGTAAAAATGACCTTTCCCAGGAGTTATTCAGCACCCTCTCTTCCCTTGCCTTTTTCTACTGTAGAAATTCAAAAGCAAAGCTCTTCTTTTCTCATCCATTGCTGCTAGGGATGACCATGTAACACTGTTTTAGCCAAGCAGGGGTAAACAGGAGTCCTTTGGTGAGACTTCAGAAAAGGTTTTTTTAAAAAAATCTGTTAAAAAGAGACAGGTTCACTATTTGCGGGGCAGAAGTGGGGACACAGACACAGAGAACAGACTTGTGACACAGTAGGGGAAAGAGAGGGTGGGATGAATGGAAAGTGTAATGTAGAAACATATACACTACCATATGTAAAATAGATAGCCTGTGGGAATTTGCTGTAGGACACGGGAAGCTCAAATGGGTGCTCTGTGACAATCTAGTAGAGTGGGATTGGGTGGGTGGTGGGATGGAGTTTCAAGAAGGAAAGGGACGTATGTATGCCTATGGCTGACTCATGTTGATGTGTGGTAGAAACCAACATTATATTGTACCCTCCAATTAAAAAATAAAAAGGGACAGGTTCAGCTTTTACCCATCTTGTCCTTTTACTCCTTCCATCTCATTCCTTCTGAGAGAGCAAATTCAAGGCCTGAGACTGCAGCTGCCATTTGGTGACCAGGAGGGGACAAGCAGAGGGACAAAGGCCTGGAAAGCAAGGAAGGTGAAGCAGACAGACGAAAGAATGTCAGTTCTGGCCAGCAATCTTGAGTTGCTGTAGCAATCTCAAGCTGTCCACCTCTTATCAGTGGAAAAAAAGAAAACCATAATGAATACAAGACAGATTCTAGATGATCAACTCAGGATTCAAATGAAAAGACAATGCTCTGGTCCTGACTCTGTTACTTACTAGCTTTGTGACATTGGTCATATCACAAAGTTCTGATTCTTCCTCTGTTAGTGTCTCAAGAAAACTCTTGACCTTTTCACCCTAGAAGTATCCTATAAATTAATGTGTTTGGCATTGTTTAGTTAATATTCAGAGTAGTTATTACATTAGGACCCACAATGACTATGTATACCAGGGCCTGGGAAACTGCTCTGTTCAAAGAACTCGCAGACACTTTGATAGGCTTAACTTAAGACCTCTTGGAATTTTTAGCAACATCCAAGGTATGAGAAGCTTGTGTATTCCAAAATGCATTTGCCCGTTTTGGGTTGGCCAAACTGAGTTGGCATGTTCTTGATGAAGTTTGCTGTGGAAGTGAGCCAGCTTCCTGCTTAGCTTGGGTAATCAGTACTCTTGGCTGGGGAGATTTTCCTCAATGCTGAAAGTTGCCTTGGGATATGTATATAAGGAAAGATTCTCTTGTTAAGGAGGTTCAAGTCTTATTATACTTTCAGAGAAAGAGGTTAAATTGGTCTTCACGACACTTGCAAATGAGGAAGTCAGGATTTAATGTATTGGCATAAAAAAATTTGTCTAACTCCACAGAGAAGTGCATATGGGCATGCTCTTTCACTATGGGATAGTTTGCACAGCCTGTTTCTTTCAAAGGAAAGTTCTGTACCTTCCCCCCAAAGTAGGCACATTCATGCACATGCTCTACCTTTGTCTGCCTGATGAAGGTATCCTCAGGCTTTTAAGATTCAGCTCAGTGTCTCTTCCTTTCTGAAGTCTTTCCAGACCTCACTACCAGATATTCCAAGGCACATATGGCATACTCTAGTGTCTTCTGATCTCTTCACCCTTGACCATTAGACTGTAAGCTCCTGGAAGACAGGGGCACCATATTATTTGTTCTTGTATTCCCAACATCCAATGCAGTGTCTCTTCTACAGTAACTTGACAAGTTTGCTGAATAATTACATGCATTGATATATGAGTGAAAAGTGGACAGATGATAATTAACTCTTAACTAGTGGAGAAGGAAATGGCAACCCACTCCAGTGTTCTTGCCTGGAGAACCCCAGGGACGGTGGAGCCCGGTGGGCTGCCGTCTATGGGGTCGCACAGAGTCGGACACGACTGAAGCGACTTAGCAGCAGCAGCAGCAGCAG